TTCATGGTCTCTGTGCATCAGACCTGTGGGACAAAGGGTGCCTGAGCCTGACCCCATCAGTAACTTAACTACCCTAAAGCCTCTTTTCCCCACGCTCCACCCTGAGGCACACACGGGGCCCCACTGCGCATGTGCTATAGGGGCAAAGCCCAGGTCGCCCGCCAGTTCTCTTCTGACCGCCACACTGAGCAGTTGCTCTTTGACCCCGTCAGTGAACTTTTCTCCGGATACGTGAGATCAGCCTTTTTGCCTCTGAATACTCCTCTTCCTCCTCACTTTATGGACTTTTATAGGAGAAAAAAATCCTTTCTTCCCCCTCCCCTTCCTTCTCCTTCCCTTGGGGCCCTTGGTAGTAGCCAATGGAAAAAAATTGGGGCTTCTTCAAATCCTGCACCAAGTGCAGGAGGCAAGCTTGCCCCCACAGATGGACTTGTGCCTAGGGGAGGCCCATTGCACCAACCTGCGCAACCATTTCACCAAATTCTCCAGACAAATTCACAAAAACTGAGCTGCGAGACTTCGGGTGGTACTTCTCGAATCAGCTCTCTCCCCAGCGCTGATAGCCCCACCTGCTCACCAAGATCGAACCAATCCGACACCAGGACCGTCGACAGCGACAAAATCGACGGCTATCCCGACGCCGGGACATCTCGGCACGGAGAACTCGGTACTGAAGTGCCCGGAGCCTACATTACAGTCGCCCCCCTCAACTCCTGCAAAGGAATGCAGAGAGGGTCAAGGCAACAAAACGGGCAGGGTCCACAAGCCAAAGCCTGGACCCAAAGCCCGGGCCAAGAATCCTCAGCCTGACTCTTCTACTTTGTCATTTGCCGCTCCGACAGGACACTTGTCGCCGGCCCAGATTTTGGTCTCGCAAGCGCCTCCTCTTTGTCTTCTGGACTCCCAGGAACAGGCCGCTTCTCGGTCATGACCTCCTCTCCACTTCTTAGCATTGGAAGTGGAAGAGATTGACTTGACTCAGTGGTTGTTCTGTTGATCCTCCTCCAGGGACTCTTCCATCGCCAGTAGCATCCACAAACCTGTCGATACTGGGAATCATGGAGACGGGACACCTGATCGACTGACACCATCAGCACTCTCGCTCTCGGGAGTGATCGCCTCTACAATACCGACCTCCTGCTCCGATGTTCCAGGCAACACCCGCAATGAGCCCTTGGGATCAGCGTCAATCGCAATACATCTATGGAGCCTATCGATTGCACACGGTGCGGCCATGGGTGCCCTTTCGACCTTCATAGTGGGATCGACACTTTGCCTGTTCTCGTCGGTCCTGATCTCCATCGAAGCCGACACCTTCCATGTCTGTATCAAAACAGTCGACATTGAAAGATCATGCACCGCCATTGAAAACACAAGACATCGCGAACTCTTTCAGTGCCACTGCTACCACCACCCCCTCCTCCACCAGTACCGCCTCCTAAGCAAGACAGTATCCTGTCACATGGGTCTTCGGGCTCTGAGGCATCGGGATCTTACTCTGATAAAGACTCCAAGGAAGCTGAATCTGACCACCACTCCCTGCCAGGGGATTCTCCCCTTGACCAGGTGAATGATAATCTTCCCATCTCAACATCGGAAGGTCTGAAATCTTACGGGGAACTGGCCAAATGCATGGCTCATACATTGGGGATTTCGATTGTGCAACCTAAGCAAACTGTCACAGATTCAAATGTCTTTGACATTGTCCAGCTTGATACCTCCACAGCGATCTCCCTACCGGTGACCAGACGTCTGGAGCACATGTACCGAATTCCGGAAGCAGGTGCTGAGTCTCTTTCCTGTCACCCCAAACCCAACTCAGTAGTAGCCACAGCTTCCAAGAGCAAGCGTACCCATTCGACCCTGGTGGACAAAGAAGTCGGGAAATTAGACAAGAACACAAATTACTTGGCTTGTATGGGATGGTGCTGGAGAAGACTCTTGAGAGTCCCTTGGACTGCAAGGAGATCAGATCAGTCAATCTTAAAAGAAATCAACCCTGACTGTTCCCTGGAAGGCCAGATAATGAAACTGAAGCTCCAATACTTTGGCCACCAAATGAGAAGGGAGCACTCCCTGAAGAAGACCCTGATGCTGGGAAAGATTGAAGGTCAAAGAAGACGGGGACGGCAAAGGATGAGATGGTTAGACAGTGTCAGAGATGCAACGAACATGAAGTTGAGCAAACTTCAGAGGACGGCGGAAGACCGGAAGGCCCGGCGGGATCTGGTCCATGGGGTCGCGAAGAGTCGGACTTGACTGTGCGACCGAACAAAAAAAACATGGGATGGTGCCAGTACTCCCTTTGTGAACAGCTATCCGAAGTACTCCCTGCTCTCCCAGATGATAAGCGCCTCTTGGCTCGATGCATCCAGAAAGAGGGCACGCTTCTTTCAAAACAACAGTTTAATCCCTCCAAGCATACAGTAGACATTTTAGCTAAGACCGTCACATCTGCTACAGCCCTACATGGGCATTCCT